CTCCCCTGTCTTATATGGTTCTGTAACTCACTGGTAGGTGAAGCGTTCTTCAACAGCCACGTTGGTAGAGGAGAGACACCACTGGTGCGCCTTACAGAACACGTTGTTGCGGAACGTTTTCTTCAACAACACTGTACTCTTTGTCTCGATCTGAACAGGACGTGGAAAAAACAAATTTAATGTTAGGTTTAGTCAGACTTTTACCACATTTGCAACCACAGAAATAGATTAAGCTCTGAAAATTAGAAGTGTTGCTAGAGAGTAATTAACTAAGAAAAAAAAAAGGAGAGATAAGGAAGAAGGATGTTTGATATAGGAAGGAAGGAGCAAACAATACCAGAGTGTCCCCCAATCACCCACAAAAGGTGCTTTGGTTTTACAGCTCATTCGGTACAAATGTGCGATTTTAAAAACACTGCAGGTTTGAAAAAAGATGCATTCATTGATAACTGTATGTGCAGGAGACAACAAAGGCTAGAAACTTTAAAAAACTGGGCCAGTTTTGGAGTCAAAGTATACCCCTGTATTATATGTGAAATTATGTTATAGGTGGGAGTATATTATAATAAACTTTCCTCGGCCAGAATTTTTCTCACTGGTCATAACAGAAGCCACAAGTCACCTTAACCTTTAATTCTTCTATTCCTCTTGAGAAATATTCCCTTCTGTTGATGTATCGATCATAGTCAAACTTTTTATTAATATACTACTACTACTACTACTACTACTACCACAACTTCCACTACCGCTGCACTACCATTACCACTACCACCACCACCACCACTACTACTACAGCTACTGCGCTAATACTGCTACTACTACCACTACTACTGCTACTAATACTACTACTTTTACTACTTCTACTACTACTACCACTACTACTGCTGCTACTACTACTACTACTACTACTACTACTACTACTAATGATAATCATAATAATACTTATACTACTACTACTACTACTACTACTACTGCTACTGCTATTATTATTATTATTATTAATA